TTAATTAAAATTTTCTGGAAATACAGTACTGACTAAGTAACCGATTTGGGGGAAAAGGGGGGGGGTATTCACTATATCGAATAGCAAACATATAAAGTTACGGTGAAGAAAGATTTTTTTCCCTATAACTATAGACTTTACATACATGTATTATAGTAGCGAATATTCTGTAGTGCATTACATTTTAAATCAATATTTCCTTTAAACACACTATCAATTTAGTTCGCTCCAAAGATAATAAATTAACAGGATATCCGCAATACTATGTTTAACTCTCAGAACTAGTTCTATCATATTTTCTGTAGTAATTGAATAAAAAAAACGCGTTAGAAATAAATATTTTCGTAATTTTGCTGCGTAATTATTTGACTTGGATAATTATATCTCCATTAACGATTTGTCGTCTTTAACTAAACATCAAAATGTTGCAGTGCTTGAAGTATTTGCACATTGGCCTTAGTTAAATTTAATATTTCAGCATCGTTCTACATAGGTACAGGATGTGCTTATACATGTAACAACATTTTTTTCCAGAGTAATTTAATAAATAACCTAATAGCTAAGTTAGAATAATAAAAAATATATATCTTAGATTTTTCCCCCATGAAATAATGATTCTTCAAACACGATATGTTAGTATTAAATTAAAAAATCTGTAACTCCTTACCTACAAAAAGATAAGTCCTTTCACTTGGGAGTTCCGAATGGCAATGACAACTGAACGATAGGTGAACGCTGAACGCAAGGTGAACGCAAAGTGAACGGAACGAAGAGCGAACGCTGAACGCTTTGTGAACGGTGAACGCGAGCGCACGGTGAACGGTGAACGCAAAACTGTGAACGGAGAGCGAACGGTGAACGCACGGTGAACGAACGGTGAACGCACGCTGAACGAACGGTGAACGAACGGAAAAATGGGAAAGTAGAACGTTTCAGGGACTGTAGCACCTCTCTTGCTTATACGTTCCATAGATAATGATTGATTAGTCAGGCAAGCTTTTTGAAAAGCTATTACTTGTATATAGTAATACTGGGTACCCTTGATTACTAGGACTAGATGATTGTAGATAACGTCCCTCTTAAGAATTTTTTTCTCGTATGGAGACATTGCCATTACTGGTGAAGTTCCTGGTGCGAGGGGATGCTCCGCTTAGTGGTGCTCTTGTTTTATCTAAGTTTGCGCAATCAGAGAAAGAATTTGATTTAAATAAAACTTTCTGTAGCAGAGTGATGACACATAAAATGTATAGGGATTACTTAGTGAAAGTCCAACTAAAGTCATTCAAATAAACAAAGACTATTTCATCATGTTCATTGTCAACATTGCAACACAGAATTTTGAGAAAGATCATGAAAATTGAAAATGAAGTTGTTTATTCTGTAATATAAACATTTGCAAATACTTTTCTTAGATGAACCTATTGAAGAGAAAATATGTTCAATTCTGTATGAACTTATTAGGCCTGAGGGGGTCAAAGGTTATGGCATCACACAGCGAGATGATATCTTGTCTACATATTTCTGTCATGGTGCAACTGGTTTTGTAAAGTTCTTCTAAGTTAATAGCGATGAAAAAGATAAAATAATTGAAACATATGGAATTTTTTACATCAACACGATCAACAGATGTTCAATAGATCTTTTTAAGGTGTGAAGAATGTTTTGTGTATTTTAATTAGCCTAAAATTGCACTTTTTAACCTGAAGTTCTTTTGTTATGTAAACTAAAACAGCGATGGTACCTCTTTTGACTTCAAATATATTAAGAACTCATAAAATAGTGAGATTATTCTCAGTAGCGATCATTGTTCTTTCATTATAAACAGAGAATTCGTGAACCTGACTGATGACACATGAACCTTAACAAAATCATTTAATTTAATTGAAATGACAATTAGGGAATCAAAAGTAAACAATGTGCACTGCAAAAGGGGGAAAAAAATGTCAGTGGCACGCCAGATTAAATCTTGTGCATTCTTGTTAATATGTAGACGATGTAAGGTGTGTTTTTACTACCAAAGGCTTAGATGTTTGAGAATTGGAAGCAGATTCGGAACACTAATTTTAATTAGTTTAAACTTTGTAAGACTGAACATTTTTAGACTATACAAAAATTGTTATTTTACCTTCTTAACTTTAGACAGGAAATGTTTTAACAAAAGTATAATAATATACAGTTATGGAATTGGTATGAGGGAAATGGCAAATTTATGGTTCTCCGAGGAAGAAAACTTTTTCCCGAGGGGGTGAAACCGCCGAGGGAAATAGTTTCCTGCCACGGCGAGCCATAAATTTGATGTTTCCCTCATACCCATTCCAGAACTGATTTATTATACGGAAATCATAAGAGTTTTATAAACTATAGACTCAGGCATTTTTTAAAACGATATAGATTGAGGCATTTAAATAATCACAAAATTAATGCATGTTATTCAAATTTTGTTAAATATCTAATGCATCTGAATACCGAGGAAAATAAAATTATTTTAATTAAAAAAAATATTTCACAGACATTTCAAAGGATTACCGTTGTCTTCATTTTTCTACAATTCTGGTTTAGTATCACTATGATTTTGACCTGATATATCGAAATGTTTTGACGTCATAGTTTCATTGTTAATAACATTACGTCACAGACTAAAGTTTCCTTGAACGCTCCACCCACTGTTCATTTTAATTGTTTAAATTACTAATAAATATTCATGAGGGAGTAGTCCCAGGGAGTAGCTCTGATTTTCAGGAATTAGTCCTCAGATGAGGGAAGTAGTATCTTCTCAGTTTTATGGTATTAGTTTTATATAGAGTAATTAAGTAAAGGTATAATAATGATAAATATTCCCCACAAGTCAGTAGTGATAAATATTCCCCACAAGTCAGTAGTGATAAATATTCCCCACAACTCAACAGTGATCATTACATTTCCCCACAAGTCAGTAGTGATAAATGTTCCCCACAAGTCAGTAGTGATAAATATTCCCCACAAGTATGCGGTTGTAGTCTGTCTGTCTCTCTGTCAGTATATAGCTCTACTGGATGAAGACCAGAAGAGCTTATGCGTTAGTTAGGTGTCCATTTTTCATCCTTCTGTCTGTCCTTTTGTAAATAATTTTTAGCTCGCCTGAGCCGAAGGCTCAAGTGAGCTTTTCTGATCACATTTTGTCCGGTGTCCGTCTGTCTTTCTAGCTGTCTGTCTGTCTGTAAACTTTTCACATTTTCAACTTCTTCTCAAGAACCACTGAGCTAATTTCAACCAAACTTGCTACAAAGTATTCTTGGGTGAAAGAGATTCAAGTTTGTTCAATGAAGGGCCATGACCTCTTTCAAGGGGGAGATAGTTAGGAATTAGTGAAATAATAATGGCATCATTTAAAAATCTTCCTCTCAAGAACTACTGAGCCAGGAAAGATGAAACTTAGATGGAAACATCCTCAATTAGTGTAAATTCAAGTTTGTTCAAATCATGACCCCCGGGGGTAGGGTGGGGCCACACAGTGGGGGATCAAGTTTTTACATAGAAATATATAGGAAAATATCTTTTAAAATCTTCTTCTCAAGAACAGCAAAGCCATGATTGGTCATATTTATATGGAAGCATCCTCAGGTAGTGTAGATTCAAATTTGTTTAAATCATGACCCCAGGGAGTAAGGTTGGGCCACAATGGGGGATCAAAATTTCCTAGAAATATATAGGAAAATATCTTTAAAAATATTCTTCCTAAGAACAGAAAAGCCATGATTGGTCATATTTATATGAAAGCATCCTCAGATAGTGTAGATTCAAATAATGACCCCCGGGGGTAGGGTGGAGCAAGAACGGGTGATCAAACTTTAGCATAGGAATACATAGGAAAATTCTTTAAAACTCTTCTTCTCAAGAACAGCAAAGTCATGATTGGTCATATTTTAATGGAAGCATCCTCAGGTAGTGTAGATTTAAGTTTTTTTCAAGTCATGACCCACAGGTGTAGGGTTGGGCCACAACAGGTGATCAGAGTTTTTCATAGGAGTATATGTGTAGGAAAAAACTTCTTCTCAAGAACAGCAAACCCATGATTGGTCATATTTATACGGAAGCATCATCAGATCGTTTAGATTTAATTTTGTACAAACCATGACCCCCAGGGGTAGGGTGGGGCCACAATGGGGGATCAGTGTTTTACATAGGAATAAATAGGAAAAAATCTTTTTCGCAAGAACAGAAAAACCATGATTAGTCATATTGATAATTTGTTCAAATGAGGACCCCCGGGGGTAGGGTGAGGCTACAATGGGGAATGAAATTTTTACAAATGAATATATAGGAAAAAATCTGCGCAAGAACATCAAAGCCTTTTGTTATATTGATATTGAAGCATCATCAGGTAGTTAAAATTCAAGCCCCCCCCCCCCTCCCTTTTTGAAGTGAACTGATTTTTGCTTTTTTCTTAGCCAATGTGCTCAGGTGAGAGATGTGGCCCATGGGCCTCTTGTTTTTAAAATGCTACTCCTCCTACAGTTTTGGTCTGATAACAATATAACTTGGCACACAAGTAGACAACACTAAGCTACATAATTCTGTATATCTGTTTTGGATTTTGATCAACAGTGTTGCCATGGTTACAAAAAACAAAAAATAGAAATTTCTGTAAAATACTTTCAAAATGCTACTTCTCCTACAGTATTGGTTTAAATACAGTATAACTTGGCACACAAGTAGACAACACTATGATACTTAATTCTATTTATTGCTGTTACAAAGTTTCAATCCAAGTATTACTTTTCTCTTCCTTTGTTATAAGTACAACCCAGTAGAGCGACTGTGAGTCTCATCAGAGACTTCTGGTTTTTGAGCATCTTTTTTCTAGGAAGACTAAGTTTCTAGGAAGATATTGACCTTAAGTTGAGTTGACGCTTTTTCTCTTTGAAGATTAAAGATTTGGGGACAATCAAGAATTAAAGTGGCTGAAGTCATGGAGACCCAATCTCAGTTCACAGGGAATACCACGGACTGCACGGAAGGACATTGGAACTGGCTTATGTATTCCAATTTTGATTGCAGTTGATGAAAGATGTCGTACTTAGGGAAACATTAGATGAAATTACTTTGAAGTAAGACTTTATTATACCCTGCAAAGTTCAGTATATATACTTAATATGCTGTAAACCAACTTTAACTTGCCTACAAGAAAGATCTGCAAGATTCGCAACCTTCACTACTTGCAAATATTTCTCATCAGGTGCCATGCATAAGTTGTGACAGTGTATTAGAATGTTTCCTTAGAGCTCTGTGAAAATTAATGGTCACTGTTGCAGATGGATTTCAATAAAGTAAGGAATCCTGAATAAAAATTGTCAGGAATAATAGTTGGTTTATAGAATACATACTACAGTAATAAGAGTACAGTTGAACTTCAGTATCTCGAACACTGATATCTCGAATACCATGTAAAATATGGTATTCTAGTCCCAATCACTTATTAGTCCCCTACCGGTGAAACCGGAGGGGACTATATGTTTCCTCTGAGTCTGTCCGTCCGTCTGTCCGTCCGTCTGTCTGTCTGTCTGTCTGTCCGTCTGCCTGTCTGTCTGTCCCTCTGTCTGTCTGTCAGTCTGTCCCACTTGGTTTTCCGCACTTTTTTCCTAAACGCTTGTAGATATTGAGCTGATTTTTGGTATGTGAGTGTATCTTGATGAGTTACAGATCAAGTTTGCATTTCGTTCCGCTTCATTGATTTTTGACGGAATTACGGCCTTTTCAATTTTTACGGGTTTTCCGCAATTTTCTTCTAAACGCTTGTAGATATTGAGCTGATTTTTGGTATGTGGCTTTACCTTGATTAGTTATAGATCAAGTTTGCATTTCGTCTCGCTTCATTAATTTTTGACGGAATTATGGCATTTTCAATTCTTAAAGGGAACAGAACCAGATTACACTTGCCGGTAGGGGACTAGTATTGCTCATGCAATACTCTCAGAATGCTTGTTATTAAGAATTTTTCCCTCAGTATCCCAAATCTTCCAGATATCTCCAAGTTTTTTCACAGTCCCGTCTAGGTCAAGATAACAGGGTTTGACTGTCAGGGTTTGACATTAACGAGTACTAGTCTTGTCGAACTGTCTTTCAGAAGATTCTAAAAATGTATTTTTGTTGCATTTAAAATGAGTGATAGGTTAGATAAGGATTAGTTTTCATTAGGAAAAATATCTACCTAAGTGAAAAAAGGAATACCTTAACATGCTTAATGCAATTCAGATTAAACAATTAAGAGTGTCAGAATTACATAGGAAGTGTTATTTTAATTGTCCATGTACTTCTAATAATTCTATATTGTAAATTTAAAAGCAAGATATTCTTTTGTTTACTACAAATTTATAATATTTACTTGCAAGAACTTTAATAGAGAAATAAGATTTTTTTCTTAAGGTTTGGTTAAATGTTAGAGCTCTTACTGAAAAATTCTAATTGTACACAACAATAAGTAGATTTTATCCAGCATTTATTACACTAAGACCTACTTTTAAAACGTTGTCAACATGGTCAGTAGTACTTGATATTATGGAAAATTGGTGATTTGCAGTACTCTATACAGGACTTTTTTCACCCCATGTTATTTTTGCCCTTTCACACTTGCAAACAATTTTGCCCCGTTTTAAAATTGGTAAGTCACAGTTCTGTTTAAGAAATTATACATACTGTGTTCTTTGAATTTACCCCGTTTTAAAATTGCACACCTGTGAGTAGGCCCAAAGGGGCGAAAATAAAATGGGGGAGGGGGGGGGAATTTCCATGTATACAGTTTATTCCTACTAATCTGTCTTTAACTTACAGATACCCCTAGTTTGTCAACTTCTAGCCAAGATCCTACAGGTTAGTTGAATTGGAGAACAGATGTACACACAGTAGAAAGGGTAAGTAGACCTTATAAAAAAGATCACTTGCTTCAAAATAATAAATTAATTTAATTGAAAGTAATTTCCTAACTTCTCAAAAAACACAGTTTCCCCCAAAACTTGGATAAATCCCTGTGGAATGAAATTGAAACTTGATCTGTACCGTATATACTCGCCTATAAGGCGGTCCGCCTATAAGTCGGTTGTATTTATTAAGCTTAAATTAGAGGGATTGACCCACTAAATTACCAATCTTGTTAAAACTTGCGTATAAGTCGGTAAAGAGTTTTGGACCAAAGTTTAACTCCCAAAAAACCAACTTATAGGCAAGAATGTAAGGTAATTCATCAAGATACACACACTTACCAAAAAAAGCTCATTTTCTGCGAGCATTTAGGAAAACAGTGCAGAAAGCCAAGTGGGAGAGACTGACAGACAGACAAAGCGACTAATGCTCTAACCACTGCATCACTTGAGCTTATTGACAGAGTAAAACTTTACTGTAAAAAGAACAAATGATATTATTTTCCCTTACCCGGTATTTTTTTTTTTCTTTTTGTAAAACCTTGAACCTCAGCCCAATTTGGTTCAACTAGAATAAATACAGTCACAACATTGAAATGAATTCAAAGTTATAACTTACTACAGAATGCAGAATTTCTAAACCCCTCATAATTTTTATGGAAATTGTAGGTTGTAATTTTTGTTGATATTTCTTACATTGCTTTAAATGCTCATGAATGATGCTTTCTTTTCAGATATTACCTGAAAACATCAAATGACGGGGAAAAAAGAAGACTGCCTATTTCAGAGATATATATTTTCACAGTATCATCACCCATAGCACTACGATCAAAAATTAAAAATGACATTAAGGAAGAAAAAAAAATGAAGACACTGATCAAAAAGAAAAGAAGTTGGAAGAGTTTCGAATATTATGTCTGAATATTCTGTCAACAACACCATAGATCTGGAGAGGGATTTTTTTGCCTAATAATTTATATTAATGCATGTACATTTATTTTTTAATTCTTTTTTATATATAGTGTTGCCTTTTTTTCATCAAGTGTACATGTTACTTTTTTAGCTCACCCAAACTTAAAGCTCAAGTGAGCTTTTCTGATTGAAAAATGTCTGGTTTCTTTCTGTCCATCTGATGTGTGTTGTCTGTTAACTTTTTACATTTTTGAATTCTTCTCTAGAATCACTTGGACTATTTCAACCAAACTTGCCTCAAAGCATCCTTTAATAAAAGGGGAAAAAGTTTGTTCAAACGAAGAGCCATGCCCTCTTTTAAGGGGAGATAATTAAGAGTTCATGAAAATTTGATGGATTTTCTAAAGTCTTCTTTTCAAGAACAACTTGGCTGGAAAATGTTAATGTTATGTGAAAGCTTCCTGATTTAAGGTTTTACCAAAGGTCAACATGCCCAAAAATTTATTTTTACAACAGCTCCAAAACTATGTGAGGTATGAAGTTAAAACTTTTACAGTTTATAAATATATTATTGATTAACAGATACAAAGTATCACTTAAAAACAAATATTTAAAAAATATATATTTTTTGAGAAAAAACAATTTCAAAAAATTTGCATATTTTAAAAAAATGCACCTGCTTAATTCTGTACTTTTAGTGAAAACCATCATTGAAGAAATAATATATGTTTATCAATGAAGGGCAAGTTGGACGTGAATGGTCTCTGAAAGGCTATTATTGAAAGCATGACATGTATGAAGACAAGTACCCTATAAAATCCGCCATTTGCAATGTACTTTCGGTTTCAAATCTTAATATTTGGACAAAATAAACAGGGAAAACAACTTTCCAGAGACTATCGAAGTCCAACTTGCCTTTCATTGATAAACATATATTGTTTCTGCAATGATGGCTTTCACTAAAAGTACGGAATTAATTAGGTGTATTTTTTAAAAAATATATGCATTTTTTAAAAAGAATTTTTCTCGTTAAATACTTTCTTTAAGTATTTGTTATCAAGTGATACTTTCTATCTGTTAATCAATGATATTTTTATAAACTGTAAAAGTTTTAACTTTATACCTCACATAGTTTTGGAGCTGTTGTAAAAATAAATTTTTGGGCATGTTGACGTTTGGTAAAACCTTAAGGGTGTTCAAATCATGTGTGGCCACAACAGGAGATCACAGTTTTACACATGGGAATATATAGGAAAAATATTTATTTTCTTCTTGTAAAGAATAACAAGGTCATGATTAGTCATATTAATATGTTGTAAATCATCCTCAGAGCAGATTTAATTTTTCCAAATAATGGTCCCTGGGGGTAAAATGGGACTACAACTTGTTGGCCCTCAGGAGTAGAATAAGGCAACAAAGGGGATCAATATTTCAAAGTGAAATGTATGACGATGATATTTTTTGAAAAACAATGTAGAAAACACCATGCCAACACTTCTTTTGAAACATTCCCAAGTTATGTGGATTCAAATTTTCTTTAAATTATTGTTCCCAGTATTAGAGTAAGCTAGAATCTGGAAGCAATTTTTTATTATTCAACGAGTGTTTTCCCCTTCTGCAGAATAACATGACCTTCTTAATCAATATTGAAGCATCCCCAGGATATGTGGATTAAAGTTAGGGTATTATGGGTCATAATTCAGTGTGAAAATAATTGCATAACATTTAGTATGAAAAAGGTCAATCAACATTTGACTTAAAAAGATTGTATTGCTAATAAGGTCATTGCATCCATCATAGAATTTGCAAATTGCTGACTTTAAACAGGGCTGTTGATATCCTTGTATCATCAACTTATGTGTCAATAGCTTGCCCCATTTTAAAGATTGTTTATTGTCTGTAGAGCATGCTCTTGTATATCAAATCAACTTGAAGACATAAACTCCATACATGTATGACAAAAGTTATAAGAAGGAAATTTGTATATTGCCAATTCACTAATTGTAGTTTAATTTGATACAGATTTAATCAATTATTAATCCACAAGTTCTCAAAACTTTGATTTATCTGTGTGTTTACTGTACATGTACCACAATACTTCCATCATGTTTACAACTTTACATGCAGATCAGAGGGAGGGGTGTTCATATTATAATACAAAGCTGAAGCAGGTTATGCATATTTTCAGCAATGTGGCAACCATCACATCTTGTGTAACACAACGAAAAGCTTATTGTTTGGATATTAATAATTTTTATACTTAAAATTGCAAGAAAAAGGACTGTAAATGTTTAGAGGTTTATGTGCAGCAATATATACAAAAAAATTGTCCAACAATGTTTACTCTTTGTTGTTTGTGCTGTACTGGTATGTACTTTTGTATTGAAGCATGAGAAATAAAAAAAAATTGTTGATTTAAAGACTAGAAGGTTTTGGAAAGTCATGGAATTAGTGTTTGAAAGGTCCGTATGAACTATGTTAAGTGTATATATATTTGTATTTTTGTCAAATCAGAGTACATATTTCTTCAGAAAACTCCTCGAAGTTAATATTATTTGATGCAATTTAACAAATCATTATATAATTTACTTTCAAAAGTAATGCATTATTTTCATAAGTTCAGTAATGTTTAGCACTTTGATAGAAACAATTGTAGAAGAAGATTTATCATATTATATTTGGAATTTTAAAGAATTTTTAAATCTGCGAAAATAATTCCTTGTCTTAATACATACATGTATGTACAAATCCTTTCATGTTGAAATGACAATGCAAAGAAGGGAATAAAACATATATATGTACACTTATGCTTTCTTATCAAACTTGGTTTTTGTGGAAGGAGAAAGGTTGATGAAATAATATCTTAAAGATGCATATCAGTCCTTTAAAATTTTCAGTGAAATATTTTGACTTGCATGTTACCAGACATGATATATTAATAATGAATGCGAGGTTACAAACCTTATAATTCTTTATTTGAAGATAAAACTAATGACTTCCATTGTAATTGTCATACGTCCTAGCACTTTCTTGTGCTAAAATATATAGAGGAAAGGGGGAAATCTGTCTTTAAAAAGGAACATATTGGACATTTTCGGCTTGGTGAACATGTACATGTCTTGAGTATGGAGCGTATTATGCACCAAAAATATTGCGTAGTATTTAAAGCTGAACACGCTTCGTAAAAAGAATCTGTCCGCCATATTCGATTGGACTCTCGCTATATCTGAGGGCCCCTATATATAGAGCCGCTCACTGGTCACTGTTCAGTGTATTCAATTGTCACTGGTGTAGACGGACGTATGCTATACAGCACTTCGTGGCGACAAAAATAACTGCTTCTTCTAATGCAAGAGAGTAAGATACCAAGGAGATTTACAACAATTGCACAGGTCAGTGCAGTATACAAACAAACACAAATATACGTAATTGCAATAAAATGTAAACAAAAGTAATGCAAGGTAACCAGCACGAACACCTGTCGCCATTCCATGCCGATACCTGTGACAATAAAGCAGTCAGGTGTAACAAATGCGAAGAGTATATCCCGGTGCTGATATCTTAGATAGTAATATCGAAAATGGCGTATGCATGCCTATTTACGAGTCGTGTTCAGCTTTAAACTGCTTTTTATACCTGGGCTGGGATGTCCTCAAGCATCGCTAAGGGCTTTTTAACTTTTGAAACATTTTATAATCAAAGTTACCAAAGCTCTGACATGCGTATCTTATAATACAATCAAGGGTGGGTAGAGGATTTAAAGTGGGGTGAGGCGAGCTGATAAGGCAGGGGGCTTGGGGCGCCTTGAGATTCCCCTAAGGGCAAAGTCTCTGAAAGCTTTTGAATGCCAAAGTTTCAGTAGGCCAAAAATGAATGTCTTCTGAGAAGACTCTTTTTACTATTTCTTGTCATCATTATTGATGAATTATTATAAATTGAATTAAAGTTCCATGATCAATCGAAACACTGATATTTTGAACTGCTGAGCAGACAGCTGCGTTGGTTTGAGTGTAGTTGGAGACCTAAAATGATGCAGTTTGATGCAATTTTTCTTAGAGACACACGTACAGGACATTCGCTAAAAAATTCAAGCAAAAAATGACATTCATCTTCAATCATTACAAAAATCAAAATATTCTACAGGTTCTTTCATTTTCTGGTAAATGTCAGTTTCTACATTCAATCTCCGTGAAGGGTCCTCCGTCTAGAAATATTCTTTTTTAATTTAAAGTGGATAGGTTTAGTCTAATATATGGATTTGACAAAATTACTTTACAATATGAACTACATATCATACAAGATCATGCTATTTAGAAGTACATTTCATGCAATATTGCCTTCTTTAAAGATATAACATTTATTGAGTAGGGGTATTACTAATAAAATCTTAATTGGTCCAAGAATTCCAGACCCTTAAGAACCATTTCAGTTTGGGGACACAACCAAGCATTTTTGGTGGGCACTACCAAGCAAAATTTACTCATGGGCATAGCATCGTTTTTTAAAGAGAGGGGTCAGTCTGAAAAAAAAAAATCAACTAAACTTAAAAAATTGACAAGCAAAATAGGTTCCAATTTCTTTCATTGCTAAATTTTATTAATTAACTACTACATTACCCGTATTTGACTATACTGCAACAAATACGGGGGAGGGGGTGGGGAGGTGCAACCGGGCAATGTTCAATGAACATTTCATTTTCAAGGGTAAAAAGTTCTGATTGGAAAAAGTTGGGGAAGCAGGCCCCCTAATGCTACCTGCCTGTTCCTTTGAAAGCCAATAAAGGTCATCAGACGTATTTAGGGGGGGGGGGCACATCCATAAACTAGCTTTATTTTCTGTAGTTTATTATATCATGCAAAATTATTTAAGGAGGGGTGCTCCACTGGCCCCTTTTAGGTTCATACAACCATCATTTTCATTGCCTCATTCCTAATATCCCTTACCCGACATTGGCTCTATCTCGAAAATTTTGCGGAATGCGTTCCCAGTTTTTCATTTGTTGGAGTAAAGCTTACTTTTTACAAAGCTTACTCCAGCTTTCAGCATCACATGTATTTATTACCATCAAGTTTTATAGCCTACATTTCGAGCACGTGCTCGTCTTCAAACTTCTGAGTCGGAATTTGAAGCCAAGTTTTATGACCAAATTGTTCGGAGCATACTCCAAATTTCTCTTTCGAGCTAGAGTTTTAGCTGGTGCCCGAGCCAATGTTTATAATCT